ATGACCTCAGTTTTTTTAATAAAATAATTTATAAACATAATAACCTTAAAATTATTACAAACATATCAATGACATAACAGTGCTAGTCAAGAGAAAATATGCACAATGTTCACAAAATAAAAGATATGATACACAAGAAAGTAGCACTGTGTAAATTAATATATTTTTTTTAATTTATAAGTTCATTTCATTACTTAGTCTCATAATTATTCACATGGGGGGGGACTTCTTTCACTTTTCAAGCAAATTTCAGAAACAGCAGCAGAAGCAGAATGAATTAAGTAGTATATATTAAATTTATTAACACTTATCATCTCAGTCCATTTTACAACTCAGAACAATCACTAAATCTTTTAAATAGTGCACCTCAAACCACCAAATTTCTTTCCTAAGCCTACCAAAATATTTTGCTAAAGATGTTTTCTGTTCTGATCCTAAGTTTTTTGTCTTTAAATCTAAAAATTTCTTTCAAAACTATTTTCTTATTCCTTCTCAATAAAAAGGAAAAACATTTTTCAATAAAGCTAATTGGTACTCGTGTATAAATGCAACCTTCTTAGTAGAAGTGGCCAAATTTTAGGAATATGCCAAACTTTGGCAACCATGTCTATAATTATTATTCTGGCAACAATGCTCATAACAATACTTCAGTCAGGCTAAGCTGCTATTTTTGTATTCACTTTTTTTTTCATTCCAACTTCCAACTGCTTTCATACACTAATCAAGTCCAAAATTCTTTATTCTCGGATTGAAGTGATGTTCTTGGATCCCCATCTGAACTTTTCTAAAGGGAAAAACAACGAAATACGTTACTAAGATAGCCACTGAATTGCCAAGGTTTGCATGAAGCTGAGTCTCTGCAATTCCCAGATTTTTTTTTAAAGTGAAAACATATCGCTGTGTCCTTCAGGAGAGGAATAGCACAATAACAGAAATGTATGAAGAAGAAAGTAAGTGTTTTATTTCTTTAGTGTATCACGTTATCCTTATATAATAATTCAAATATGCATTATAAATTTGTTTCCCCCCCTCTTTTCAGGCATTGTTAACATTTACTGGTTTAGGATAAACATCAATAGCTTGGGAATATTTCAAAAAAAAAAAAAAAAAAAGGGGGGGGGATATGAAAACTACTAACTTGCACCCAATAAGAAACATCTACCTTTTCATCTGTAAAAAACGCTAAGTGGCCAAAATTGCACCAAAATGGTTGGATTAGTACATCAGTACCAGCTAATTTTCTGCAGTTTCAATGAAAGGAAAAATTATATACTTTTAACAGTTGTCAATAATTTCCAAGAGCATTTAAAATTATATACTGCTTTTAAGAAAATTTCATTAAGTGCATATGTAAAGTGAAAAATGTATGCTTATGACAAACCAAAACATAAAATTATACTTATAGCCAAAAGAATTTGACAAAAGTATGTATGATTAATAATATTTCATTGCATGTCAAATACGGTACATCTCAACTAATGGCATATCATATATTTTCACCAGCATGGTGCATTTTTGGTTATATTTTCGCCAGCATAGTGCATTTTGGTTATATTTCCTGCATATAAGATGGACTTTTTCTTTAAAAACTTTGTGTCTAAAAACTGGGGAGTCTTGTAGAATGATAGTGCCTGCATCAACAGAAATGGTAATAGTGGCATTATGGCAAATAAATCCAAGCGTGAAAGATCATCAATGATGCATCCATGGCATGCATGTTAACCCTTAGATTGCCCAGACCTTTGCTCACCTGCTTCTTTAAAAAACAAAACATCTAAAATTTCATGTGAGATTCACAATAATTTCCTTTCTCCTCCTAGTCATTAATGAGCAAAGAGGTGTGGAATGTTCAAATGATATAATTTCTACCTCCTAACAAAGGAGCTTCACTCCTGAGTATATATGAAGTCACCATTAATCTAAAGATAAGGAACCACAAAAGAATCCTAAGAATCCTTTTAGATGAGACTGTCTACAATAGAGATAAATTGATATTATGTATTTAGGAAAACTGCACTTACTTTAGGAGGACCTATTGGATGAGAGTTCTGACAATGTATACTGAATAAACATTGATTTCAATAATTTCCCATAGTATTTTTTTCCTGTTAAATTGTACTCAGTGGGCTGATAAAAATCAGTCTGTCAACAAAATGCTTTATTTTTTTTTTCGATTTCCAGATACCAAAATCAATGTACATCTTATGCATGGGAAAAATAATGATAATTTCTTTTCCAATTCTTTGGCTTGATACTAGACAATAGAACAATCAGATATAGCAACACAGACACATTCTCTAATGATGACAAAAATGCACCGAAACCTTGCTCTGGGTTAAGAACATGGCCTACATTTTTTTTTTTTTTTTCTTTTTCTTTTTGTGAATAAGCTCTCATCAATACCTACAATTTTGTAGTAACTCCATCAATTTTTAACATTCTTTTATTTTAATTTAGAGGAAATACTAAGGAATCAAATCAACCATTGTGCTGTGATTCATCTGAAGCAAGATTTGGTTTGAAAAACTCAATAAATCTTAATTCATGACACCATTAGTAAATGAATTGGCAGTAATGAAAAGAATGCTTAATCCAGTAAACCACATTTATCTTTGGACATCTTTTATTTTTCTTCGGGAATGAAGGCAGCATAGTTATTTCAATTTTCAGTCACATTTTAATTTCATTAGGTGGTTATTTGAATACAGTCTTTCTATGTGACGAATACACTTAAAAAAAAAAAAAAAAAAAAAAAAAAAAAAAAAAAAAAAACGGGACAGTACTTGTTCACAAACCTCAAGTTTTAAAATCCAGATAAGTGAAAAAAGAAAAGAAAAAACACAAATTAGATGAAAATGTGGTAGCATGAACAGTAATTATAAAGATGATTATCATCAAGGAAAAAAACCAAACCAACCTGCTACACCTGACAATAACAAAATAACAGAAAAATGTCATATAATCTACGCTTTAACAGAAAAATATGTCATATGTTCTAAGGGGGATAAAAACTGGGTTAATCAATGCACATATATATATATATATATATATAGTTTTTAGAAAACAATAATAAAACCAAAACATATAGACACAATGTACTTGAAAAAATAACTGTCAGTTTAAGAGTTAATAATAGAGTATAAATATTAATAGAAAACAAATGAAAAATTCAACATTAAAATTAGCATATACAAGAAAGAAATTGCAATCAGAAATCCTTTAATGCTTATTTATGCTAATTTTTACATTAAATTTCATTTTTTACTGGTAACACAGGCATACAGTTTTTTTCTCAGACATACAGTAAAAAGTCTGAAATCTGGATGTCTAACAACCAGAATGATCTATTTATCTGGATCTTTAGTTTTTTAGTTTTCCTTTTCCTCACACAGTGTATGAATTGACAATATGATACTCCAGCAAAAGCAAGAGTACTGTAAATCAACTTTTGTTCCAATTTCCACCTGCCCAATTCCCATTTTTTCCTTTTTCCTTTTTTTTTTTTTTTTTTCAGAAAATTATCTTTATCCAAGATAATATTGAATCATCCTGCATATTGTTTTGCCCTGCTAGAAAGCAAATAATATTTTCATTTTGGTATCTCAAGTGGTTGTACAAGACAGCATTTTTTCCTACCTTACCAAGACCAATACAACCAAACGCAAAGACTACTGTTTCTTAGGAATGGAATATTTCACAAACTAGTTTCCTTTTGCTGGTATAGCAGGGGAAAAAGGAGAGAGATTTTGATTAACATAAGATTGACTACCACTGCAAATTGCACTCTTTCTTAATTTTCTCTTTTGACCTGGTTTATTATTTTACTTAGTGCTTTATTATTACTGTTTCTTATAAAACTTAAAGTTTCAGTAAAAGACAACATCTTCATTTTACTCTTCTAAATATTGTAAATTCATCAATCAACTAATGGATATTGAAATTTTGCATGAACTAAAATGAAGTTATCATATAAGACTTTTTAAAACTGATACAGATAATTAAAAGTACAATAATTAAAAAAATTCTCAAATTATTTTAATATAAAATCTGTTGTGAGAAGCATTGAAAGGTCAAGGAAGGATGTTTCTCTAGTTACTTTTTAAAATGCCTGGCATAATTTATAGCCAGCTACTGTATTATAATGATAATGTTAGCTGCAAATTTGAAAGATAATATCACAAGTAAACAGAAAAAAAAATTTTAATTCATGGAATATGTCAAGAAATGTTAAATGAAGATGATGTCACTGAAGTCTTCCATTGCAAAAACAATGTCCAAATTATTAATATTTTAACTAATGGCAAAAACCGTAGGAAGTCAAAATTGCCTTTTTGGCATCGAATCACATTTTAGTTTCATGAGATGGCTATTTGAATGCAATTTTCTGCCAATGAGTCAAATTTCCCAACAAACAGAATATGCATAGAAATGCTAAATGAAGATGTTATGACTGAAGTCTTCATTGGGATGAAAATGCCTGAATCAGCAATCAGTTAATGGCAAAACCTATAGTATGGTTCAATATTAAAAAAACATCCCAGTGGATAGTGATAAAGAATTCACTAAGAATAAAAATGTTTCATTTGACAATTCCAAATCATTGGGAACTCTTGATACGGCAGTTACAGGACTTGAAATGTGATAACAAGAAATTATGTCTCACTATAAAATTAAACAGAAAGTGTTAGAAAGTTTTAATGCATAAAATAGAATGGCTTAAACATGGTACCCTTATGAACATAAATGCTTCATTATTTAATAAAAATTCTTTTACACTATTTTATAATTTTTACATGCAATTTTACAACATTTAAATTGATGGCCTAAAATCTTAAAATTTCTTAAATTCAGAATCGCTGTAATGCTGACATTTCCATATTTTGGACTTGGTATTGTGTTCAAAAAACAGGATAAAGAATGGGATAAATACACACTTTTACTAAAATTTATTTCATTCAAATAAAATATAATTAATTTATATAATATTAAAATATAAATACCTGAATTTGTATCTTGCTGTAATGACCAAATTTTAAATTTACAATCGTTGCTTGTAGTTACAGCAAGAGGTAATGCACTGACTGCATCATCTACTGGTCGAAACAAAATACAATTCACTTCCTTATTATGAGGTAAAATTACATTTGTGTTCAAACCAAACCTAAAGTAAAGATATTTTTTTTAATTCAACAAATTTCCATTAAAGACAAAATTAATTATTTCAAATATTAGCAAGTCGTATTTTTTTTTTACCTCTAAGTTTTTAAAGTATCATGGGAAGGGGCAATATATTTTACAAAAATGATTCAAACTATGTATTTATGGCATATGCGATTTCAGTGCATATATTTATTATTAAAAACCTGTCACAGACTAACATAAATTACAAATTCCTGAAGATAAGAAGCAGCTTTGACAGCCATTTTAATATTTAAAACAGCCAGAATCTTTTATTCCATTAGGGTTAAATGTGTCAGCTACATTCAAAACTTCGACAGATGGACATTCTTAAAAGTGAATTGCCATAATTTAAAAAAATTTGCAATTTTACAAGTAAATTTAATATTATGGTTCTGAAAGAGGAAATCAGTGTGCTATTTATACTGACTAGATTGGTTATTTAACAATAACAGTTCGCATTAGGACTATTTACGAAAGAGAAGCCTTACTGAAGGACTTTCTTGCAACTGGACTATTGAACTTAAAATGGAATTTGGAGAGAATTATCAGTGTTTGCAGCTTTAGCCACTCAGCCATTGGTGGGCCTGTTTTACTTATGGGAATCACACAGTGTAGTTTCCAAGATACACTTTCTTTGACACATCTCTCCATCTTCTTAAAAGAAACATCTAATGCAGATACCATCACTTCCTTCCACAACCTATTAAATTACACACATTTTTTGCTGCACTCCATTCCAACATATTTCTTCAAATTTCATTAACGATATATTTCTCATTCAATCAATTCATTTCTCACTTCTCAGCAAGGCAAAAATACATAAAATCTCAAAACATCTTCATAAAAAATTGTAAAATACAGAAAAACCTGAAACACCAAACACTGTTATTTATTTTTAAATTTAAATTAGCGTCTATGAAAACAAGCATTTTGGCCAGTATGCCAGAAGACTAAATCTTCAGTGCACAAAACTGAAAGTTAACATTTGGTCACACTCGTCAAAAAGTCACTTAGGTTGTTTGTTGCACTGACTGACTGAATTCACAGTTCTACTAAGTTTGGCGGTCTCTACAGTGATTCAAATCAACATTAACCACTTTGTTTACAGTTGACACTGAGCATTTTAAGGATTTTGGGTACTATTTTGTTTTGGGGACCATAAAAAATTTGCAGCAAAAATGTATATGCAAATGCGCCCATTTAACGGCATGCCAAAATCTAGTGCACGCACTGATTTCAAATTGCAAAAGATTAGATAGTTCTATATTTCTTAAGACGCCATTGAAATACTAGTTTAATTTTTAAATCCTTTTTTGATAATGTTATGGATTTAACAATTTGGGAATTGCCCAGTCACGAAAAATCTGCAACAGAATTTTTTCAAAGAAAAGACATCATTCATTATAGAAAATTATGTTTGAACAACCAACAAGATGAAATTATGCTTTAGCGATAACTCGTAGCAAAATAGCGATGCAGGAATCTATTCAGCCTTTTTTTATATATATTATAATAATGATCTGAAATAGTTATTTACTCTTATGCTTCCATTCAGTTATGTTTAGACTTTTTTATATAAATTATAATAATAATAAAGTATTATATGAAATTAACCTTTCATCTAAATTAAAACAATAATATTAGATAGTTATTTACTATTATACTTCCTTTCTTTCATTAGAGTTGCCACAATTATTTTTGGCAGCACTGGCATCAACAATAGTTTGCCGATTTTTTACGGTCCTCAGAACAGAATAGTATCAGGTTTTGCAACTGCCCTTTAACTTGGTGGATGTTTCTTTTAATATTAAAAATTTTACCTCTGCAACATTCCTTTTTTCCTTAGATAAGTATTTGAACAATTTCTCCACATGATCCCAAACTTTGACATTTTTTCCCTTTCTTGTCAATAATATTACCTACTGTAGCTTTAGATATAAAAAAACCATGGGTTTCAGAGATTTTTTTTAATAATTAGATAGGAATAACTTTGGAAAGAGTACAAACATAGCCTTTCATTCACTGCTTTTTTAAAAGTGCCATTATGCATGAAAGCAAAATTGTCAAGCAGGAGACGATTATTTATACCTTCAAAAATACAGCTCCAATTAAAAAAAAAAAAAAAGAATTTTAAAGCAGGCAGTATTTTGCCAGTACATTTACTATTCTACAAAGTTTGGAATTTCATTAGGCCTAGCACAATTCTAAATTGTTGATAACTCTACATCTATTGCATACAAATTAACTAAAGGCATGATAATCTTATAACATGATATATAATCTTATAGCATGATAACCAGAACATAAGAAAAACATAATTAATTTTTTTAAAGCAAAAAATGTGTAATTTACTAACATCTAAAAATAAAAAACTGAGTTCACTGAGCTGGGTATTAGAGTGAGATTTTATATACGTATATATTTATGTTTGGTGCAGTTGATTACAGAGAAAAAAGAAGTGGCTAAAACGTGATAGCAGTCCCTTATACAAAATTTTAAAGTTGTATGGCTACTCGTTTCTGAGTTGTGCAAGATATATACATACATATGTACAGACATCACAAAAAATATCTCTTCTGAATCCATTGTCAAAAGAAAAGGGGGAGAGTTCTTTATTCTGTCCAAATGTACAGATGTCATACAAAGAGACATTGTTCAACTGGATTCGAAAGTAAGATAAAAAAAAAGGAAACTTACGTTTGTTTTGTGGTATCGAATTCCCAAAACTTTAACCAAAGTTGTGGACTAGTCTCTTCATCATACCAGTATTCTGTAGTTGCCAGCCAAATACCTCTGTCATCTATTGCTGTTTTGTGCACATCTGTGTTTAAAACGACAGAATCTCTTTCTTGACTAATAAAATTTCTTCCTGTAATATCTAACTATAACAAAATTTGATAAATTTAGACTAAACCAATCAAGATGAAAGGAATAATCCTAATATACTGAAAAACATAACAGTTGTATAATAGCTATACTAAAGATGACTTAACCTTTCAATGGAAAAGTTAAGCTGTTTTAAAATAGACTTCCTGCCAGTCATATTAGGTTGTTCACACATTTTTTAGACAGTGTTCATTGTACTGACAGAAATATTTTACCTCAAATTTTTGTATTTTAAATGTTCTGTTTGATAACCCTTATTCTTCCCATCTCTCTACATCATGATTTCCAAGATAATAATAAAGCCTTAGTATCGGAAGAAGTATTTTATCCCATTCCACTTAAACAGATTTCTAACGACCAAGGAGGGTTGTTGGTCGACGCTTGGTCAGACCTCTTTTTAAAAGTCCAAAGAGCAAAAATCCATGAGTGATACATCAAGAGATTTAGCAGGGATATGAGTGAAAAGTATAGTCTTAATATCACTTTCTTGTCCCATTTTTTTCAGGAAATTAACAGTGCATTTTGATATAGAGCTATTTGCTTTGTCTTGATGTAGTTCTATTGATTGATGGCTCTGTGTGAGAAGAGTAGGCATTTCTCATTTGAGAACTGGGTATAAAATATGTTCCTGATAATATGTGGAGTTGATCTTAACATATTCCTCCATTGCCTTCATTTTTAATTTGTTGTTATATGAAAAACCAGCAACAATCATTAATGCCTTTGAAAAAATTTAGATTCTTTGAACCATGTTTTAAGATTTTTTCCCCTTCTTTGATGTTAATAAATGAATCTCTTTTTATTGCAATCATTTAAATACCGCCAAAAATTCATCTATTGTAATAACATATTTCCATTTTTGTTTGGATATATGTTTCACATAAAGAATTCTGCAGCGTGTTCTGCACTATGTCATGGAGAAAGACAATGCACATTATGTTTTTTATCTTTTCAAGATTCAAATCAGCATTAACCACTTTGTTTACAGTTGGTACTGAGCATTTTAAGGATTTTGCAACTGTTCTTTGATTTGGCAGATTTTCTTTTAATATTAAAAATCCTTACCTCTGCAACAAACACTTTTTTTTTTTTTTCTTTGAATACGTATTTGAAACAATTTTTTAACATGAAGCAAAGTTTGACCTTTTTTTTCCCTTTCTTGTTGACAATATTATCTATCACAGCTTTAGATATTGAAAAACCATGGATTTCAGATATTTTTTTAAATAATTAGATACGAATAATTTTCTCTGGAAGAGCACTAACATAGCCTTCCTCCATTGCTTCTTTAAAAGTGCCATTTTGCATGAAAACAAAACTGTCAAGTAGCAGATGATTATTTATACCTTCAAAAATATAGCTGCAGTTAAAAAAAAAAGAATTTCCAAGCAGACAATTTCTTTTTTAATAACAAAGCAAAATCTTCTAAAAAATGTGCAAAAATGTATATTGTGCTGACTTAGAAGCAGACTGTTACTCATATGCTGACTTATTTATGATAACAAATATGATTTAAAGGAAGTAATAAAAATGATTATGTATATAATACTGATTCTTAAGTCTTTATTTATAAAATTTTATGGCTATTTGCTAGAATGTCATTGTCACTAGAGGTAAAATTGTTTTCCCAATGCCATGTTATTCACTGGAGTGTGGAATTTAGTAACGAATCAAAATAAGAAAAATAAGCAATAAGATACATTATTTTTATATGAAACTATATCATAAATAAATATATATTTTATAAATGAATTTACTACAAGGCAGTTACAATGATATTATTACACACTACATATTTCAGAATGCTATTTGTGTATAATCTCTGTACAAAATAAAACCTTGCTTTAATTTGAAATTAAATAAATATACAACTAGTTTCTAAACCTTCCCTCCATGTCAATACTAGCATACATACTCAAAGTGTAAAACAAACTGAACTGAAGAATAAACAATGGTGCTTTGCTTTTCCCGCATCAACATGTGACTGACATCTGAGACATCCCCCTGCATTACGCGCCAGAACAATGATCGGCAGTAAGCCTGTTAAACTTCTAAATGTATGGCTTAAATAATCTACATATAATGCACATACGTCACAAAACAAATTAAAATTTCATCTTAATTCTAAACTAAATGCAGAAGGAACTCGTTAGAAAGTGGCTGTGAAATTTAGGATTTTATACCATTGAAGGTGATTAATAAAATTATTCATAAATACTGTTACTCTCCAGAAATGTTTTTGATTAGAGATATTATAAGCTAACTGAAATATCTGGCTTATTGTAAATAGCACCAACATTCAGAAATGCACCTAACTAATCAACCTGATATTTTTTTGACTTATGGTAATGAGTTTGTACACCTTATGAATTTAATGCAATCAGCTTTTTATGAAAAAATTAACAAATATTGCAAGAAAATCATGCATATACAAAATATTTACAATATACTCCAAAAGAGAATAAAGATTTCTACAATGCTTTAATGAAATGGCCTACGGAGAATGATATTGATGTTATTAGAATAGGAGAACAAGGTATGATAATATTTAATGCTTACATATGAGATAATTTTTGATAATTGATAAATGAAGCATGTCTAAATTATTTCTCTAACATATCATCTCCAAAAATTTTAATATATTACGTCCACTTTTATCTATTTCTTATTAAAAATGAATATCTAACTAAAGTTGTAGAAAAAGGCTTATGTTAAAATATAAAAATTAATATTTGGCTTACTAAATTTAGAATAAGTTTTGAAATAAATATAGAAGATATATAACAGAAGCAAATTAACTGCATATTTTATGTAACTATATACTAAAGTAAAGTCCTTTATCACATACTTCTTTAAAAGCTGGTTTTATTTGAAACACAAAACATTTTGTTCCAGCAAAAGTTGAAATAAATATATTTTTTTTCCAATTTTTGAACAAAATTAAATAGAAAATTATATTTAAAGCTATAAGTTTATTTACTAGTTTATTTACTACTTCATTTTATTATACGAATTTGAAATATTTCACATACTCTGAAGTGACAAATTTTATACTCATTTATATTTTTAAATGAAAGAAAATCTGTAAAAAATTATAGATATTTACTTATCATACATATAGGCTATGTATGATCTCACTGACCATGAAAGTGGACTACCATTGAACCTTTATGGTTCAATGGCAGAGCTCCTGCCAATGCTGCCTCAAGTTATGCCAATTGTTGCTGTCTAATTCTGAGCTGCAGTTCTATCTGTAAGTCTTATAGTAAAACACTTGCCATTCGCTCTGCACAATCCACCAAATAGCCACTGCTACAGAAGTATTCAACTTGCTTTGGTTTTGCACTTCATTTAAAGGCTTTTGCTAATTTCTACTATTTTGTTAAGTTCATCAAGTTTACAAGAAGTTTTGTTTAGAGAATGCTACTAATACAAACTTTCCCACAGCTCATTGTTCCAGTCTGTTATAGTTTTGTTGGCCTTTGAACAGATGTTAATTCTCTCGACAAACTGTAAATAAACCACAGTGCAGTCACTGTGGCTCATTTACAGCCCTTGAACTAATTTTCTTCGAAATGCAAAAAAATAAATAAATACTACAAACACAACAACAACAGTTACTTTATATCCTAGCTCTTAGAAAAATAGTTTACACTTTTCAAGAATCAGTTGAGGTTATATAAAATGAAAGTGCAGATGTTGTGTGCTATTATGTCACGCTTATCTAAACTAAATTCCATTGCCTGGCGAAAGTTTCATGTTTGTTGAGCTAATATGCAAGTATCAAACTGTATTATACGCTAACATAATTACTTGTAGTAAGAGCATTTGAAAAGGAAGGATGAAACCATTTATAAGATAACACTTAAAATACTACATTAAGCTCTAAAAAATCTTACATTAAATAACTGCTTATCTTTGGTTATATCGTAAAACTGCAAGTGACCAGGCCTTCCATTCATTACAATAGCTTTTGTATGAGGGTCATACACCATACCAGTAGGCAATAAGTTTCCACTCTTAGTACCTTGAAAGTGGCCCTGAGTCAATCCTTGAATTAGCTGAACCACTATTCTTTGAGAATTTATTATCTGTAAGGCTATTAAAACATGCAAAATAATAGATCAGAATATTGAAATGTTTACTTAATGACATAATCTCAATAATCAATTATAAAATATTATTTTTTACAGTTAAAATACACCAAGACACAAAAAAATTAAATAGGATAATAAACTGAGAAGGACTCCACAATAATGATAAGCACTCTTCATGTAATTATACGAGGTGATTCAAAATGATTAGCCAATTTCAGATGAATATAATTCTATACTTATCAATTATGTTTTAATTCGATAGATACTAAACAAAACAACAACAAAAAGAGAGGGATCTTTTTTAACATCTTTGTAGTACTGATCATGTTGTCTAAATAAAGTGCTTCAGGTGCACTGAATCAAAGACTCAATCAACTTAGTTTTTATAGCTTCTAGCTTATTCAGAAGTCAAACAACATGTGATTGCATGGGTTTCGGTAAGCTTCTAGCTTACTGAAGCTTACATCATAGGAGCTGTTCCTTTGAATGTACATTTAAGGCATTATGTTGTTGTTTATCAAAGCTGCTCACAAATTTACATAATCTGAAAACTCATACTGGTGTTGCTGTGTATATAAGATAAGCTGAAGAGAGAGTATAGGAAGAATATGATTACTGTTTGGCTTTGAGAAGACATTTGAAAGCACCAATATTTAAAGTAGCTATGTTTCTGAGCTATCAACAATACACTGTTCTTATAGGTAGTAAAGGGGCAGTTCAGGAACGCATTGTTTGGCTTTGGCAAAATGTACGATTGTTAATCACCATCTGCATTTAGCATTCTTAACCTAGTAGCCCCATACTTATAAACAAACGGCTCCAAGGTCTACACTAATTTATCGCAGTCAGACTATCTTTTATTGCTCACCTAGCTAAAAGAAGTTACCTAAAAGAGATAAAAGGACAAGTTCCTTCCATTTAATCTATAACTTGTTTTTCTATGACTGCAAATTTCAGAAATAATTTGAAAATGGGTTACCACTTTGAATCACCTTATATAATATTATATACAAACAAATTTTAAGCTTGAGAGCAATTAAAAAATCAAGTCTTCACAAAAATATGCAAATATGCTTAAATGAAACATACATATGTTTAACTAAGCAATATAATGAAGAGCAATTAGCCTTTCTCTGTCATACTTAATTACATTACTATTACTACATACTTAATAACATACTACTTTTGTTGTCAATTTATTTCACAAACTCTACAGCAAAAATATTTTTTAAAAGGTAGGAGAGGGAATTGTGTTGAATTGAAAAAGAAAAGCCTATACAATACAGAAAATTAAGAAAAAGGTCTTAACCCCCAAATTAAAAAATTAACTAAAATCCAGTTTTCTAATATACAAAATAACAAAATACACAGAGGAAAAGTATCTACATAGCAGCTTTGATTATACAGATTAATTCCAAAAAAACATGAAGATTATTATACGCTAGTAAGAAATGCTTTCATAAAGGATTATACAAGATAAATTTTATACATATAAAAAACACAGAAATACCTATGCAATCTTCTTTTTCCCCAACCAGACATTATGCATTGGCAAAACTAGAAGTACGCAATGGTTGCATAAATTTCAAATGAGTACTGTAACAATTTTAAAATTAAATCTGCTGAATTAATGTAGTCTCATTTTGATTTTTCGTGAAAATTAAGGTACTTTTATAGTTCTTGACATAAAAAGTTGATGTTTTTAAATAATAATAAAAAATAAGAATTTTTAAGGAAGATAAGGGAATTATGAATGATTAGGATTAGGGAATTATTATATTAAAAATATCTAAAGCTCATTGACATAGATTTAATATAATAATTTACTTCTCTGTTTTTTGTTAATATATTACAATACAACAAACTTCTATTTTTCACATTCATGTATTTTAAAAATATAGACTGGAAAATGCATTTTCCATACTACAGTGATTACATGTTTCTTTTACATTTAGATGCTTATTAAATTACAGTTGAATTATCTAGCAAAACTTGCTTTCTGCTCGATTGCAAGCTAAAATTAATGCATTAAATAGCTAATAACCTTTTATTCTTTCTTTTAGAGGGGGGGTAGAAGCTCCCATTTTTGAGAATATAAACTTTCTTTCAACTTTTTAATTTTTTTCCTCAAATGTAACTGGATTTGTTTCAGAAAGGTCTTTAAAATTTTCATAGTGTGTTAGCTATCATTTTGAGCCAAGAAAAATTACATTTCCTATAACAATAAACAAACACTTTTGCTTAAAAAGAAAAAAGGGGAAAAGAGAGATAACAGAAGACATCTTTAATCATGGAAAAGATCATGAGGATAAACAGGAAGTTACAAAAAACTATTGTTTGAAGTCTATACAGAAACAAACAGTGCTGTCTGCCAGTTAAATTTAGAACAGTGAAAGAAAGGGATGTTCTGTTACATCAGTCCATATTTAGAAGATGCTTCATAATCGGAAACAACCTTAATGCTGTTTTTAAAGTAAAAATCATGGGACATTAAATTAAATTATTTAAGTCACCACTACAACTAAATTTATTATAAGTGGCCTTTGACTGTGTTATATACTTTTTAACTGGTAAACATCTAATTTTCCTTGCAATAATTTATATTTTCTCTTCAATCTTCTTATTTTGCTATAAAACTCAACTTTTAAAAAGTTAAATAAGACTCATCTAAACACAAATTAAACCTTAACTTAAATTCTCTTTAATATAGTTGAGATACTTCAACACTGAAAATTAAAACTTTATTGTGAGTTCATTTCAGCATATGACCTCTAAGTTCAGAAACATTCAATAATCATGCATACTTCCAATCAAAGCTTACAGTTACACTAACAAAAAAAGGGAGGATTACATGTCAAACATTTAATAATGTACTGCTAAGAAGCAGTTCGAATATGCAATATTCAACAAGAAAAAACAATTAATAAAAATAATAAGAAATTCCATACAATACTTTCTACTAGAATGATAATTTCCTATTTTGTATGAATGCTTCACATATTTATAGGACTAAATTAGATAATATCTGTAAAATTAAGAATTTTAAAAAAGAATGGGAAAATAAAATTTTACCATTATCTTCATGTGCAGAAACCACATAGCTATTGTCTGTGGATATATTTACATGACAAATAGGGGATCCAAGACGGGGTAAAACTGATTTTTGTTCAGAAAATAAATTCCATTTCACAAGAGCTGCTTCACCACCACCACTGTACATATAACTACCTATATATTAAATTGGATTGGACATGAATTCATTAGCTCATGACAAAATTCATTTTATATTTAAACATACATTTATACATAGAGTACATAAATTTTAGCTATAATGGAAGTACATGAATTTGGTCTCACTAAATTAAACAGAATTCTGAAGAATATATACCTTGTAGGATTCAAGAGGTTCCTGAACTGAGTATAGCATAAAAATGTTTTGCAGTAGTGAGACTACAAGAATGTTTTTATGTTGCTACACTCTCCCCCTTTTCTAAAACTGGTTTGTTCCAAATCACGTGGTCGAAAGCTAGCGAGCTACAGCATTTTTTGTAGGCAGAAGCATTTAGTAACCTGGGATAGAAAGAAATGACGTCAGTTGAGCAGAGAATCAATATCAAATTTTGTGTTCACTTTGAAAAGAATGATACGGAGACTTTCGAAATGTTGACGCATGTGTATAGAAGTGAAACCTTATCAAGAACGCAAGCTTTTGAGTGGCATCATTGTTTCAGAGAAGAAAGGGAAAGCGCCGAAGACAACGAGCGCTGTGGCTGTTCCGTGACCTCGCGCAATCATGAAAAAATCAAAAAGGTGTCTGCGGTGGTACGTGCGAACAGGCAGCAAACAACTTGCCAAATTGCAGAATCATTTGGGATATCAGAGGCCACATGTCAGCGGGTACTGATTAAGGATCTTAACATACATAGGGTGTGTCAACACATTGTTCCCTGCATGTTAAACGTAGATCGAAAGGGAATTCGAGTGGAAATGGAGGGAGACTTGACCTCGGTTGTTGACAAATATCCTTCCCTACTTGGCAGAATTGTTACTGAAGATGAGAAATGGTGTTTTTTGTACGATCCGCAAACCAAGAGAGCATCGGCAACGCAGAAATCACTACAATCTCCAGGAAAGCAGAAATTCCGCCAAGATCGCTCTAAAGGAAAGGTCATGCTAGAGGTATTCTTCGATATCCAGGGCATTGCGCATTTGGAATTTATCCCTGAAAAACACACCGTGAACAAAGAACTCTACGTAGAAATCCTGCGTTGTTTGTGTGAGTTGATCTGGAAGAAGAGACCAAAAATGTGGGCTGGGCAGTCATGGGTGCTGTTGCATGACAACACCATGCTCACCGATCCCTAATCATCAATGACTTTCTAGCAAAAATGAAAACAACTGTTTTGCTTCATCCTCCTTACTCACCTGATCTCGCACCCTGTGATTTCTTCCTATTTCCTGAACTGGCAAGACGCTTGCAGGGTCGTCAATTTCAATCTTGATATGAAGTTAAATGTGCATCGCAGGGGCTTAATTAAACGACATGGCCAAAAATGGATTCTAGACATGCTTTGATGAACTTTACTGGCAAAAGTGTGTTGTTGCACAAGGGTCTTATTTCGAAGGAGGATGTGTTTCTGAAAGTTAATTCATAATATTTCTTGTATTATAGACTGACTCAATCTGGGAACATTTGAATCCTACCTCATATACGCGCAAAAGCGAATAAATATAAATACAAAGTCAGAAAACAAATCACACAAAATGAAGGCCAAAAGATTAAGGAAAGGCAATAACTCACTTTAATATGCAGAGATAACTTTTAAGATTGAGCAAAGTCACAAATGATCAAATTAGGCAGTTAGATACCCTATTTCATTATAGATTTACATCAAAACTGTCAAATTTTATTTACTTTTTAAAAATATTTGTTAAAAAAGCACTATTATAATCACAATCTAATAAAATTCCATAGTATAAAATACATGCGATTTATGACATTGATTTTTAACCACTTGCGCTAATGACATCGCACATCGAGATGCTCTTGTATCAAACCGCGCGCAAAAATTAAAATAACGTGGTGCACACGTCGCCTAACAATGAGATTGTTTATTTCTCAAGTTACAGCTCTGGATTGCACTCGCAGCTGCACTCGTAAATGAGACACTTTACCACTTGTTATAATGCAGCACACGGCACCGCAACTGTTAAGTTTAGTCATAGTGCAAGTGGTTAAAAAATATTAAGATATTGATTTTTAAACAATATTAGGATAATTATACATTAAGAGCTACAAAACATTAACAGATACAAACATTTTTTGCAGCAACAAGACTCAACAAAATACTTATGCATCTTTTTTTATTTGGAGCCTTTCCAGACATTTTGGCTAAAGTGCAGAATCGCCCACTTATTTGTTTGGTGTTCGCTTGGTGCTTTTTACAAAAGTAAAAATTGGATTTTTGTCAATTTTCTTTTACTTTTTAAGTGAAAATAGGTCGATGTGTACATGGATAGTCAAGGAAGTACACAATGCCATTTTGTGCAATTCTGGGATTTTTTTTAAATGAAAATAGGTCGATGTGTACTTGGATACCGAGTATGTGCAATTCTTTAAAACGTGCCAAGCAGTGGGCGATTCTGCACTTTCACCGACATTTTGGCTAATTTATATCAATTTCATTCTCTTTAAGCATCTTTTTTTAACAATTAGAAATTTGTCTCAGTACACAAACCAATGTTCCCACTAGTTTCTGCATGCTTTATCTTCTAAATTATCAATCTCTTAACAATGTACCTATGAGGTTTCACCTGATCTGGTAAAAGTTAAATACTCCAAAATACCTGACAGACATGAAACAAATTATCGCCATGTCTGAAAGTAACTATAAAGTCAGATAAAGGTTTAAATAAACATCTAATTTAAAAAGAACTTACAGCATAAAGGCACATTCTTATGCTAGCAAAATCAATTACAGCTTGTGGTTACACAATTAAACAAGAACGGTCAACATTTTTCAAACTAAAAATGTTGACTACTGGTCAAATATTACACAATTTAATTTTAATCATATCATCTCAGTAATTCTATCATCGTAAAAAATTCAAATTCGGCAGCGACAACGCAAAGAGGAATAATACAAATTATTGGAGCTGACAAGAACTAAAGCAGCATGCAAGCAGAGACCAGAAACACATTCTGTCCTACAATCCAAAAACCTCAGTTTAAAAACTATCCAAGTGATTTGCATTCTGGTGAAGAAACAGAAAGGAGAAGTTATATTAAAGGTTGAAATTATAAACAACTAGTCAATTTACATAATAATAATTGTACGTATATTTGAAGAATAATTTTCTTTACATATTCAGTTTCTTTCCTCAATATGTTTCCTCTTCAGTTTAAAATTTTTGGATTTAATTGAAAGATTTCTGTTTTTCTAAAAAAAAAAAAAAAAAAAAACCTAAATGCAATATAGAAAAAGCTGCTAATTTTATTTCTTTAGTGATATGAACATTCAAAATAAATAGGAGGGGATACACGGTAAGGACCAGTTACAGAGCTGGTATGGCAGAATTTTTAGAATTTAGTGACACACCAAGAAACAAAATATATAAAGAGCTGGTTAGAAAGCCAGTATGGCAGAATTTTAAAATTTATAAAAAAATGACACACCGAGAAAAAATTTAGAAACAGCAAAACTTTTAGAATCTAGGGCAGGCACTAGTAGGAAAATGCCAAGCACCAGTTCTGTGGTGCATTAAGATATACATACAAGATGAACCTTTTAACTTATTAGTTTTCAATTTCTTTATTAATAAAAAAATTCCCTTCTAAAAATGCCTATCCATATGATAAGATTAAAAGCCTACTTGATATTTTCCATGCTTGTGTCTAGTGAAAAGTAGAGAAAATAAAGGGAACATAAATATGTTAAGAAAAATAAATCTAGTATCAAAAGTAAAACATTCAAATATTATGTTTTCATTGTTCTTCCAAAAATCCTCCAAAAAGTAAGAGATTCATGACAAACTTTTTGTAAAATACACCCATTGTGTGTTAATACCATGAAGGCATTTTTCATTTTGTCACATTTTTTCTAGAATCTTCTAGAATCGTGGGTCTATAAATATTGCCTTCAAATCCTTCTAAACTTTCCAAGTTTGGAGTGTCTAAAATCCTAAACAAAAATTACTTCTACCAATTCTGTAACAGCAAAAAGCCAGAAGTATTTTGCAGGTTTAAAAAAGAAAAAAGAAAATACAGAAAAAATGTGTAAAATTAATTTTATAGAGAAAACTCATATGCCTATTCTGAGACAATTACAATGGAAAAACTCTTGCCATGAAAACATTTTTAATTAATTACATAGCTGTTTTGCTTTTTCTAATAATTGTTTCATAAATATTGCTTTATAAGCATTTATTACCTTGTTTTTTCAGATTCAAAATATTGTATAATAAGCCAACAAAATGGAAAGTAAGGTACACTATTAAAATCTGTGTGTGTCTGTCTGTTTGTTTGTGACATCAACTCCTCCAAAACGGTGGGAGTTGAGTTTCAAGAGAGGTACCCCCCAGATTCCAAAAATATGTGGAAAGCCATTTCAACTATTCTCATCTTCATACAACTTTAATCAGCTGAAATATTAATTAAAAACTCTGAAAACACTAATTTTCACACTCATTTTTCCGAGTGCCAACAGTCATGGGAGTTGCTGGAGATAAAAGTGCTCTATTTAGAAAAGTGTTGCCCCTGCTCGCTTTCAAATCGTACAGTTTGTTAATACAAAAATTGTAAGTTTTATTAATTATGAAATAAAAATAGCATTGCCAAACAATAAATATGTTATTATTATATAATGTCATGTTCTGATGTTGAAGAAAACACGCGATTACATGTGATATCATTGTATGTTGAAAATATTTCGTTAATATCAACATTTTAAATAAATAGCTGTTGTTGTCAACTTTTTTGTTTCAGGTTAGGATAACTGACACAGTATGCTATTGTTACGTAAATTCTTTTATTGATATTGAAAAAACATTGCTATATTACAAATAATTTAAATCATGACATCACATATACACATGTTAACCTGATATGACAAAAGTTTTTATTTCTTAGCTTGGAAATGAAAAAATTATTTATGAATTGATTGTTGCTTGGAAAGAATGAGCTGATTTCACTCGTAATGAAATGTTTTTATGCATTCTTTTTTCAGGTATATATAGAACTTATAAATTCTGCTTTAAAAAAAAAAAAAAAAAAAAAAAACACAAGATTTGAAAAATTCCCAGGTTTTTGAATCAAAATTTTTTTGTAGAAACTGATCTTAAAATTGCCAAAATGTAGATAAGTTTCCATATTTAGAACCATTTAATAAAAGAGTTCACATCCCTAAAAGCAAAAAGTTGTTTAACAGTTCTTCATTAGAAGAAATGAAATAATTACAAAATGCTTATTGTTTCATTTATTGGCCAGAACCTCTAACACCCCACCATTTATATTAGAAACAGGGACAAATAAAAATGGGGATAGATGAACCCATTCAAATGATAACTATCTTTGTCACTGAATCGCCAAAAATATTCCTCCAAAATGCTAATTCACAACATTCAAAATGCCACTCCTAAAAACGGAAATTTAAGACGATTAAGATTAAAGACCTTCTGCCGATTTTGGCGGAAATTAACGACTTGCCAAAAATAGATTCCAAAAACCCTACAGACTTTTAAGGACTCTTAAGGATCATATGAACCCTTTGTTATGTAAATGATGAAAACAAATGATAAATGCTGCTCCCTATGTTTGATACTTAAGGGAAAATATGATCTTCATCAATTAAATTTAAAACATATATAAGATTTCATCTAAAATTTCTTAAACACTTTTGTCAGTTTAATAGAAATTTCAATAATTTATGAAATTTAAATTAAAATATTTAATTTTCTGTTACACGTAGATTTTTACAAGTATATTTTCATGCTTAAATATATGTCAGTAGTCCGATTCATTATGAAGTCTTACAATTTAAGAAAGGCAAAATGTGTTTTTATCATAATCACAAAATTAAATTTATGGTTCAATTTCTTTTACTGTATAAATATTTTTTAAAATTATTTCTTTCATTAAGCAAAAATTTAGTTTCTGTATTTTTGGAGCCAATATTCTACAAAAGTTTATGAAAGAAAAGCATGCAAATATGATTTTCAAATTATTTATTTGGAAACTAATATAATTGATGTGGGTCTAATAAAACATCAATAAAAACTTTCTTACATTAATCATTACAAAACAAATTTCATCCTTCCTTTTCCTTCTTCATTTATGTAAGAATGATGTCTTACAATCATTACTTTTCATACATATCATAAAGTAAGTTTACTTACAATAAGAATTGCAAAAATAATATTTATTTTCCTTTAGTAGTAAATGTTAAATACAGCATGAAAGTTATTTACCTTCAGTAGAAAATACTAAATCAGCAACAGGAAGAGTATGCCAATGATAAATGGAACGAATGGGTCTCTTACTGTCAAATATATTTGACCTACAGTTAAAAGAATAAAAAGTAAGTAAGTAAACACAAAAGGTACTTTTTCTCAAACTTCACTACATTTATTCAAAACCAAGACTATTTTTGGGTGTTGGAAAATGGAGAAAGACTTATATAGACTACTTTTACAGTATAATTAGAAATACAAAAATAAAATATTCACAATTCACCAATATCAGTATAACAAAATGAAAAAGAAAAATTGCACGAGAAGGCAAAATTATATACTTTGAAGCAAATTATGAATATTAACATATTAAATTATTTATTTCTTTTGACATATGCTACTCAATATATAAAATATACTCAGAAACCTAATAGAAGATGCTTGGAATTGAAAGTATCTCATATTCTTCTTGGATTACACAATATAAATCTGTTCCTTATATACTTAATAAACAGTACCTTTATTCTGGGGCTAGTGATAATTTATATTTTGATCCAGTGAAAAATTCATTAAATAGAATGAAACACTGTTCATACTTCCCATATAAGGTTCATGGAAAATGATATAATAGCATGATCAGAAGATTCTTAAAAATGAACCATTGTACTCGCAACTGCTTTATAAGCTGATTACGGCAAATTGCGCTAATGTTATCTGCCTAAGGGAAGGGATGCCTTCACAGAGGACTTTCGGGGAGAAATTGGCTCTTATCTATGTCACACATGGGTAAAAACCACCCTGTTCACCTGGAATCGAACCCAGGTTGAACTACTAGTGTTCAGGGACTTAAATGCTCAACTGCTGGTAAGCACCACAATGAAATGGGTGGTTCCAAGATATAACTGGTATGCTAGAAATATGCTTGTTTTTTAATTGGCAACATGTCATTAGTGCAAAATTTATTTTCAAATAAGGTATGATGAGTTTCTGATGTCTAAAGCTAACAAAGCAGTTGAAAAAAAAGTAAAATTTAAGAAGTTGAATACATTTGAATTGTATAGGAGACACTGAGATATGGTAGTCAAAACACTGAGAAAATCGCTAAAATATGGCAGATTATTTAAGAAACCAATTTACCAATAAGGAGAATTAATGTGAATATGTAATGACCCTACTGAACTTATATAAAATAAATATCTGAAGAAAATAACTTTGATTATTTAGCCTTTACACAAATTTCTTCTAATGTTGTCTCTCTCCTGGCATATTCATACAGTTTTCAGATGTCTTTGTAGAGGCCAAACATTGGAAGAACTCACAACCTCTCTTATTTTAAGTTAAGATTTGAAATAGGAGATTTAGATAATAAGCTTATCAAAAACAGCTAATAATGCAGAGTGTTTATAAAGTCCCGGACCCATTTTTATGTTTAATAACTCATAAAATAATAAAGATAGATTAAAATTAATAACGTAAATGGTTAGATAAACTCAAAAAGTTTCATGACCCTTGTCAATGAACTTCCACGTGTGCCCCCTTCGTCGCATGGAGAATATCAAGTAGATATTCAATATTACGTCAGGTACCGGCAAGCATTTCAGCATCCACAGAGGCTCTTGCGGTTGTAATTCTGGCTTTTAGGTCATCAATGTTTGACGCTCTCCTCCTGTAAACGTTGTCCTTTATAAATCCCCAAAGGAAAAAGTCCAGCGGTGTTATATCAAATGATCTGGGTGGCCAAGGAATTGGATCTTTCTTGGGCGAGGGCCCAATCCATCTTCCTGTAAAATGGTCATTCAAAGAACTACAAACAAAGGTACCCCAATGAGGTGGTTCACCATCTTGTTGCAAAAAGACATGAAGCTGAAGCTCTTCTAGTTGTGGAAATACGAAGTTTTCCAACATATCTAAGTATACGACTGATGAGACCGTCTTAAAAGAAAGGCCCAATGACTCGGCCGTGCATTAGTCCGCACCATACATTAACCTTTGGGGAATCCCTTTGTGCCTCACGGTATTCATGGGGGTTTTCAGATCCCCATATGCGCACACTATGGCGATTAACAATGCCAGAAAGATGAAAGGATGCTTCGTCGGAGAACATAATGCACTTCAGAAATTCAGCATTATTTATCCTCCTTAGCATATCTGTTGCAAAGACCATTCTCCTAGGCCTATCGTCCAGTTCCAAAACTTGAACAATTTGAACTTTGTATGCATGCAGTCTTAATTTTTTCTTAATAACCTTGTACACCGTCAAAATTGCCATATCCAATTCTCTTGCCACTGATCTCACAGATCTTCTAGGATTGTGTAAAAATGTCTCTGACATGCTCAACATCAAAATCACTGGTGCAGGGATGTCCGGAACATTTCTTATCTGCGATACTTACAGTTTCTAGAAAATTCTTTTTCCACCGCAAGATGCTGCTTTCGGATGGAGGATCATTTTAGTAAATTCTTCTGCAATTTCTCTGTGTTTGCAATATGGATTTCGTTTCTATGAATCACCATAAAATCTGTGCTTTCTCTTAAGGTGTATGCATTCTCCTTAATATCCAGTCGAATAAAACATCACGTACAAAAGTACTAAAACAAACACATCAAAAGAAAACATAACATTGCAATAGTTGCCAAAAACAAAAGAGAAAAAATGCAATTAATAAGCAGACGATAGTTAGAAAAGTACAGATATTTAGGCTGGAAAATGAAATTATCTGAAATTAACCACACGCGCAGACGATATTTACAAAAGTAAAGATATTCAAACCTGAAAAAGAAAATATATAAGTTATTTCATCAATAAATGCCATAAGTTTGTTTATATCTTCATTATTTTATGAGTTATTAAACATAAAAATGGATCCGGGACTTTATAGACACCCTGTATAATAATATAATTTGATAATGAGCTTATGAAAACAGTTGGTTAAGAGTTTTTTTTTAACAATAAACAACTGATTGCTCTTATATTCTGAATTTTAATATATTTATCACTGTTCAATTTTTCATGTCATAAACAGCCCATTTCTCAAAATTCCTTCATAATTTTTACCCAAGTAAAGACTGACTGCACATTCACATTCATGGATAGACTGGAGATGATGTATCTGCTACTAGACATTTTTGTGAGAAATGCTTTGATAAATTTGAAGCTTTGCAAAAGAAAACATTTAATTCTGAAATAAAGGCCACCGAACACACCTTTAAAACTATTAATACATTTAAAATGGTTGTTCTTTTTATCAGTTTCCCAACTACAATTTAGTCTTTAATTATTCATGTGATGAATGATTTTTCAGAGTAGAAAGGGTGATTTATCAACAAGTAATCTCTTCTGGTTGAGAAGTTGCTTTTCAGTAGATTACTAGCCACTGTAATATTCTAGGAAATTAGAATGTTGATTTACTAGTCAAGGATGGCTGCAGAATAAAATACCTGACTTTTGTCTTTTAACTAAGCTTATTCAACAGATTAATAGCCACTATATTATTCCAGGAAATGAGAAAGCTGATTTACTACTCAAGAATGACTGCAGAATAAAACTCCTGACTTTTCTTTAGCCTTTTAACCAAGCTTAATCTTGGATAATAAAGTCTACACAGAAATTTATCAAAACTCAGCAAGCTAGAATTTCTGCAGAAAAGATATGAAATGTCTCATTTTCTTCTCCTATCCCAAAGTGTCTCTTTGTCCTGCTTTTATTCCTAATTTCAGATTCTTAACACAATTTTATCTAAAAGCAACTGCACCAGATGGATATGGCTGATTTTCCTCATGTTCTTTATGCTTTTCCCATATAAGTAACTACTTTCATCTTTTTATCCATATTATTTATTGTAGATGGCAGCAAGCAAAAAGATATTTTGAAATATGCAATGCCATGTTCTATAAATAGATTTTTTCCCTCTCGTTCTTTTAAAGTTATGAGTTGAAATTCATGTTCATAGCTGATTATACTAATATGATAATCAATAAAGATCTGTTAATGTTTTAATCTAATTTCTGAGTCATCAGTCACATATTATTTATTGGAATGTTCTTGTGATGAGTCAATGAAATTTAACCATTTGATAAAGTATACTGCTCTGCTTATCTTTATGATTGTCACTGTGACTACTTTTATGCTTTTACAACTTTTTTATGTTCCCATTATTGCTTCAAAAATAATTTCTCAGCAATGAAGCAATGTTTCAAAAAGTCCTCAAAACCGCTAAAATTGTTTCAATGCACTACTTGTTAAATTTGTGTATTAATATATAAACATTAAATATAAAATTCTGTTGAACATAACAAGGACTCACCCTTGATTTGTTCAATGCACTATTTGTTAAATTTGTGTATTAATAAATAAACATTAAATATAAAATTATGTTGAACATACCAAACAAGGACTCGCCCTTGATTATCACCAGTAGCAACAATATCATCTGATGGATGGCAAACAACACATTTTAACATACGTTCTCCAGTCTTGTGTCTAAAATAAGAAGGCTACATTTCAGAATAATGGTAAAATATGCATTTAATCATTTTAAGAACGGCATCTAACGCATAGAACTGGATAGAATCTTAAAAATCTTCACTTACAATTATACAGTTTTGAATTTGTAATTAGTATCAAGAAGAGTCATAAATTTTATACCAACAACATTTCAAAGACAAGAAGCCCTTCAAAAGGAAAATGTGTTTGCTTTTCTTGTAAACACATATCTTTGATGGTATTTTTACCAAAATGTGCTCTTTAACTCAACTTATTATTTTGTTCGGTTCATCTGAAAAAAAAAAAAACATTTGAAATGCTAACTTGAAGAAAAACATTTTTAATATTCCTTCTTAAACTGATTTTTTCACTTTTTAAGGGAGCTCTTTTTAGCTTTAAAATATTGGTCATTGTCTCTGTTACTCAAATGATATTAGCAGTCAGCCAAATAACAAAAAAATCCACTTTTTAAAATTCAGTGCTTGTTCCTTTCCTCACATTAACAGTTTATTTAATATTGAAATGCATTTTCATTTAAACTTAGGAAAACCCAGAATATAATTCGCAAAAATTTTACATAGGTACAGACAAAAGTTTACTTTGCAGCTTTTATTTTATTATAAATTAATATTTAAACAGAGTTTCTTACCTTTTGTATCTTTTTTTTCTATTCAGATCTTAATGTTATCTTAAACAGCTGCAAAAACTTGCCTACAAATTTTTTATTCCATTTCAATGGTGAAACAATTCTATTCAATCTTACAAATATTTCCTTGTCTAATATTATCTATATGTGAGCAACCTGATATATGAAATTTGCTGCTATATAGAATTATAAGAAAACTAATTTAGAACCACAGTTTAATCACTTATTGTATAAATATTACATAACACTATGATATAAAATAATTTAAAAGGCTAAATGTTTAAAATAGCATAATAATAAAAATAATTTTTAACATTAAGATCAAATATTTATTGTTTTTGCCTGCATCATTGATACATTTGGCAAAATATTTTTGAAATCTTAACAGCACAGGCAAAATTTCTATGATACTATACAATCTGGATAAAAATTAATATTGATATATAATGAATATTAAAAAGAGATATGAGACATGTTTATGTTGAAGAATTACAAACAAGATAAGAAATGATATAGCATAGTTCATCAATTTTAATAATATTCTTTTATATTGATATTCATACCATATGTAGATAAGTGACTTTCTGTAACTTATCAAACAATCAGTTGCAAAAAAAAGGGAACAATCTAAGAATAAAACGGACAAGTTTTGGGGTGGACATCTTTTTGTAACAAATATCCAGAGTAAAATTTTACATGGATTTTTCTATGTAAAGAAAACAGTAAGAGGCTCTCTAATCCATTAAATATTATTTTTCATAATAGGCAATCCAATAATTAACCATTTGCTAGAAATTTCCATAAAATAATCATTAGTGTCCTTAAGATAACCACTGGTGCCAATCAAATTTTACTAACATAAGTAGAAGATAAGTAATATAAACAATCAGTTTGGGATTACTCAGAACAACCATAATAGGTTTTGAGATGAGAGACAAATATTATTTATTTTAATATTGTCATAATTTGTATCACTGTGCGATTAGTAGTGTTAGCTGGCAACTCATTACCTCTTCACCCCAGGGGAGCTGGGGAATTGGGAGAGTATAAAACATGAAAAACAAACGTTGCCGCTCTCCTCTGACCAAGTGGTTTTTCTTCCTGCCGTTTTCTCTTTCTGCCCTCCTCCGCGTGCACCTCCCAGCACAACCACACCCAATACGGGACTGGGACGCCAAGAGGGCTTGGCGCAACTGGCGGGGGCGTATATGGGGCGGCGCCCAGGCCCATACCTTTTGGAAAAAATGCCCGAACTTTCTAACCCCTCTCGTACCCCAAATCCTCACCCTATTACATTAAGACTTCCAATAAGCAAAGCTCGCGTTACGGCAAGCCAACAGAGTCTTTGCCGGATGACCTTCGCCAAACAAAGGGAGCCAAAGACTCGTGAGTAAAATGGCGGATGCATACATGCTGATTAACGCGCACGACGATTAAAAAGAAGAGAGGATTCGGTTTTTATTTCGGCTCTCATTACTGTATGATTTGGCATCAATGATCTGCCTCTCATGGCTGGGTTTCCACGAGAAGTTAGAACTGCAGTCTTTATCTCAGACTAATGCTTATAACGCACAAACTTAGACCAAGTTGAAAATAAAACACTAAAAATCAGAGTAACAGCTCTAATGAATAGCATTATAGTGCAACGGCAAAGCAGAGCCTGTCACACAAACAAACACAATCAGGTCATAGCACCACTGATGATTACATATTATTAATGTAGGAGTTTAATTACTCAAACACGTAAACAATAACTATTTACCATTGATTCTTTCAGTTTTTGACTTCATCTCAGTCAACGTGCTTTAACCGTGAGTACAATGGCTTACTCATTTTCCGTACTCTGCTGATTACATACATAATCCAATTCTGATCGCTTAAACTGCTTCACGTTTTTCATTGATGGTACGTGCTACAAGTAAAGGATAAATGCTTATTAACCAGACAAAATTTAGCAATTGTCTAAAAAGTTATTCAACAAAGTCGCCAATCATGCGGACACATCAGATACTTCGCATGACCCAGGATAGAAGCCAACATTTTCCGGAAAATAATTGCATCAGAACATAATAATCTAAAAAGATAAACCAGGACTATAAATTAATGAAATCCGTGATTCCCAATAATGAAGTACTTGGATCAAAAATATCAAAATTACAACAACAACAACCAAAAAAAAAAAGCTACACCACCAACAACCAATTTACCACAACAAGAGTGTTTATGCCCACCCAACTGCTAATACTTCACCCCGATACCATCTGGATAACAAAAAATTCTTAACTTCAAAGTCCTGTCTTGAACAATCCGGGCTTTAGTCCCAACTGCTTTTGAATTTACAACTTACAAGAATTTTCCATTCAAGCATCCCCCCTCCCCACAAAAACGCGTAGTATACCCACTAGAAAACCACAATTCTATCGCAGCATTCCACAAAAATTGATGATGAGAAAGAATGCCACCCCCACTCAGCAACTGAAAAACTTCTTTTGATGATACATACTCCATCACGCATAATACCACCCCCTTCGATGCCCTTCCAAATCATATTTTACAATAATTCGTTAAGCATTGGAAAATGTTTACTATTTGTATTATGTTTTTAATGAGCAAGATGTTTGGGCGACAAAGCCCCTTTATCATATAGGGGCAACTAGAAAAAAAAAAAAAATCGCCATCATCAAATACTATGACGTCGTTTACCTTATAAGCTCATCCTTGCTATGATTAAGCTTGTGGCGATCAACAAGGGTAATTTTCTTTAATTTATTGCTTCCTCCAAAAGTCCAGCGCGTTCCTTCCCAGTATAGTCTTATCATTGAGACAATGCTGCCGAATTGTATAATATTACCATATATTAATTTTCTCTTTCTATTCTCTACATCCCTCGAGAGGTAGCAGTATTTCTGGATCAGAGTTCCAATATAAATTGCATCATTTAACATGGATTTGATGAGCGGGTTTAAAATGAAACCTTCGTCTTCATTGCCTAAATGTCTCCCAATCGATGCCCCCCGATCCGTTTCTTGCGAACATTTCCTGGTTTATAGTGACATAACACATCAAAACTTATTCAATGAGCACGTTAATCTTTTCTACATTAACCCACCAAGAGCATAGAATCATTTTTGGCATAGACAGCCAAAAAGTTTTTGTAAATTTTTTTGCTTTGTTGACGCATTGCGACTTGAACATAAAGAGCAACTAGTTACAAAATTTTTTATCCCATAATCTGTACTATAGTCCACTTGCAGACACAAACCCCACATACTATCCAAACCCGAACTAAGCCGTCCCCCTGCACTAAACCCACCCTAGCACGTTCTCTCCTCTTTCCCTTTCCATGCAACAATCATCTTCCTCTTTTTTCTCAAAACGGTTCTTTTCTGTAATATCCTACCTCATGTAGGCATTGCTCAAAGTAATATGTTGCCCCTCTTTGCATAGGCATAACATGAAAGAAATATAACAAAGTAGGAACCAATAGTTTGGCAGTTTTCAGGCCATGTTAGAGATCAACTTATTGTAGAATCTCAGTTTGACACGTACAAGCAGTACTTACACGCGAGCCAATTAAAAAAAATAAAAAATTAAGGCATGGACTCCGCCAACAAATTATGCATAAATTCGCACTCCTTCTTCAAGAACAAGAGGTTCGTCTAACTCGAAGTGAAAAAGGATTTGTCTCTCCTTATTTGTATACCAGGTACAAATTAAATACGCATCCAACACGGGGGGCAGGCTAGACACCACGCCTCAAAAAAACGCGTCCAAACGCACCCTTGATCCGGAGTAGACCATTAAACACCCCAAAAAACGCCCACCAGCAAAACCATTTATACTGTACTACACAAAACCCAAAATGGTTCACCCCCAAACAAGGATTCGTTTGTACATACGACTAAACCATATTAAAGACAAAAAGTGCGCAACACCACACCAACTACAAACAAACAATTAACATACAAAACAACCACCAACTCACACAAGTCGAACCCCCCAACCAACGAAAAATATAACCCACAAACAATACCACCCTGCACTATATCTCACTAAACACCAAGTATATATCATGAGATAAAAAGGTTTGTGGCGTACATAACAGCAGGCTAGAGAAGAAAGGCTCTCCTTACAAAGACTACAACCCAGGCAATACTGATACCCAAGCGGACAGAGGCTGATACTTTACACTAACAGAGCAAGGTCGGAGCCTGCCCGGACAAGAATTGCGACATTCCCATGGCATAACACCTACCTCCCTAACCCTGCGGATACATCCAATGAACAAGTGAAACATTTAAAGCCAATAACACAGGCTTCAAGTGACATCTAGCCATTCTATCACTAACACACTTAGTTTTGCATGTATATAATCCCCCTCCTCTAACAAACATTTATTCCCCATAGCAACCTCTACAAAAAACTATCATATTAAATCAACCGCACCTTAAGAAAAAAAATATATAGCACTACAGCCTCCACAAGAGATACAAAAACAGTCCGCTCATAGGATATAATTTTGAAGGGGGGGCAAAGACTTCCACAGCTAAAAATACGAGACACGGTATTGCCTACTCTGGACACCATGAGATAAGAAAAAACGCCACACGCTGCAATAACACACCAAGATATGCGCATGCGTAAAGCCTACGAGAAAAACGGTTTTGGTGGTTTTGAGGTCCGGATTTTAGAGTATTCCGGATAATGGACATCCGGATTTCGGACTTTATACTGTACTACATTAAAGCTCTCTTGGTTCTCAGAAGTTGTTTGAATGACTAAATTTCTTATATTGGCTTGATCCACTGATGGTCCATCTTCTTCAACGTATTTCAATTTGTTTGCATGTGAAACTGGAATATATATCTAATAAATGTATTTAAGTATTTCTATAATTTCCATGCCAGAAAAGAAAGCTACTTACTGTTTACATTTTACTACTGATATGTTTACTATAGATGCTACCAATGCACTTTCCTGACACTCTCTCATTCTGCAGGTTTGAAACTAACTTAAGTGTTTCATCTAAGCCATTCTTAATAACACTAGTCTGTATATAAAACCCCTCTAAATTCAATCTGTTAACCTCTAAAAATGGCATAATATCATTAAAAAATTATATTCAAACATCCTTTTGGTCAAAACTGCTTAAAAAACCCTGAAACCACTTCTGAAGCATGTAAAAACAACCTGTGATCGGCGAGTTAATAACAGTTCACTGGCTTCAATAATTCAACTTACATGATTGCTGCTCTTAACCACTTGCTCTACGACTAAACTTCACGATTGCAGTGCTGTGCGCTACAATATAACAAGCGGTAAACTGTCTCATTTACGCCGCTCCGCGTCTGCAAGTGCAATCCAGAACTGTAATACGAGAAATAAACAATCTCGTTGTTAGGCGATGGGTGCACCATGTTATTTTCATTTTTGCGATAAATGCTTATCCACGTGGTGTTCACGTCGCTCGCTATTTGAGACAAAAACATCTCGACGTGCGTGGCATGTCTTTAGCGCAAGTGGTTAAGAAAAGCTGAAAAAATGATAACAATAATTAATATTTATTTTGGGAAAGGTATAGTCAGCAAAGCATGCAAGGCTTATCTACTTAAAACAAAACAATTCATTCCACTCTTTATTACAAAAGATTAACTTTAAACACATTACTTTATAGAAATATAGAGAAATAAAATAACATATATTCATAGGGGATTCTGAATTTCACTACTTTTGGGACTTTGTGGAATTAGTTCTAAATTTCTTATTTTAATAACTCTGAGAGATAAGCAATAACTCTGAGAGGCAGAAAAGAGGAATATCAAAATTCCAACCTGAACTTACAAAAGTGTCAGGCAAGCGAATGAATGAGACCAAAGTTCGTGCAATCAGATTTATTGTTTAGTGAAAAACTCACAGAAAGTGCTCAAAATGCTGACCATGCATGTTGTTGCACAGTTGCAGGGTTCATAGCCACATTTTAGTTAAAAAAATAAGCACCTATAAGCACTTTAAGCACATTTTAAGAAAAAAAATAAGCACCTGTCTAATTACATCATACACAACTGCATAACCTTAATTAGACTTGTAATTTAAAATATGAGAAATGCAGTATTTATTAAGAGAGAATAAGCATTACCTCAACCATGGAAAATAATTACTTTTTTTTTCCCTTTAAATTTTAAATAACAGTTCAATTTACAGAACTAGTTTACAATGAGAGAAAAAAAAAAAAAAAACTATGCAGAACTAAACTATATTACAAGATTTAATGATGAAATTTCAGTTCAAAATAGAGAAAATAAATAATAATAAGGCATATTTATTGTATTTGCTTGGAACCTAATAATAAATACAATTTATTTTTCCACTCATATTAATATTTAAATAATTTAAATCTAAATTCTGAATATTTTCTAAATTTTCATTGTATATCAGTTTTCTCTTAACAGATATTGCAAGCAAAGTAATTTAAGTAAAAAAGAGGAACATTTCTGAAATCAGAAGACAGAAATTTGCTTCATGCAGTCATCCTTTAACAGTAAAAGCTTAACTAAGCCGCATACTTGGAAACTGGCGAATATTCGGACAGTTGAGCGTAACTTGAAAAAAGAGGAGCGGAGGGGGGGGGTTGACTGTAGCCACTTTTTAGATTTTTCCGCTAAATAAATGCTTTTGACATTTTGATATGTGAATCATATAAAAATAAACCAATGGAACTGAAAAATATTCTGCTTAGCAAGCACAGTAAAACTCTTTTAAGTGTTCATAAACAAATCTCAAACAGAACATCAATTAATTAATTATCTCTGCGAAATATCGCAAACGTTATTGCACAATACGTGTGCCATAATTCTTCCCTACGTGATATTACGCAATCGGAATCAACAGCTGCTGAAATTGGGAGAATAAAGAACTAAATATGATGAGTACTGGGGTGTTTTTCATTCTAATTTTCAACAGACGGCGTTAAATTTCCGCAATAGAATCATTCTTCGCTTGGGTTGGTAGACCACAGAACTTTTAGTCCTATTCAATCCAGATTGGAAAGTGAGTGACAAAAAAAAAAAAAAAAAAAAAGTCCGTTGCTTGTTTTGCAGCGAACTTGTAACAGTTTCAATATTTGAGATTTTGCGGAGAAAGGGGAGAACCTCCCAATCTTCGTACTAATGTATTGGCCAAAAAAAATTAAATTATTTTGACTATTCGATTACTTTCCCTTTATTTAAGCCATTCCGAGTATTATTCCTAAACGCTAACGCTGTGTTAAAATACAACCATTTTTGGAAGTTTACTATACTTCAGCAGTTACTGCAACTGTTATTATATAAACATTCATACATATACTCATAATATAAGCATAATGATCATAATAAACACAAATATGAACTGACCAAGCGGAACGAGAATGCAAATTATTAAGATCTGGATAGAAATTTAAACGTGTATAGTATTTGGGTGAGAGGAAAAGAATGCCGAATGTACCGAAATTTTCTACTGCTTTCGCAATTCTTTGACCAATATAACGACGGGCACCTGTCTGTACTCTTTGTGCGCACCAAAGGTTATGTTAATGCAGAGAAAGGGGGGAAAAGCTATTTCCGGGAGTATGATTCACCACCTGACATTCAATATTAGAAGAAAAGTTGTTTATTTAGTTTCGGCTTTGGTAGGGGGAAAAAATAGCGCGTTCATTAAAAAAAAAAAAAAAGCACTAAAAGCAAAAAATAAGCACTAAAAACAAAAAAATAAGGGCTTTAAAGAAAAAGTAAGCACCTATAAGGGCCTTTATATTTTATTTTCAAATATAAGGACTTTTATAAGCACTTATAAGGACCTACACCCGGTACACGGTGAAGATGAATGTGCAATGAGTTCTGGTGTTGTTTTTGTCCGGCAACAGCATTTTCACATGGACTCAGGTGAGACAGAATATAGATTTTGTGCTAAAAAAAGTCCGTGGGTGGGTGGTGAGCGAGAGGCCAACCAAGCCCCAGTCTGATCCATCATGCGGGATATGTGGCATTAAAAAAGTTACGGAGCGTGACAAAAAATGTGCTGGCGCTCCATTGTGCATAAACCACATTCTTTGCATGTGCAGCAGAGCAGCCTGAAATAAACTGGGAAGCACTTGTTGCAAGAAGATACGGTATGTTGCGCCAGTCAAATGGTCTGGCATGATGTAAGGGCCTACCAGGTAATCACCTAGGATACCTGCCCAGACGTTAATGGAAAATTTCTGCTTGTGTTTACAACAGATAGTGCAGTGGGGATTGCTGTCAGACCAAACGTGTTGATTGGGCACGTTGAAAATGTTTTCTCTGTTAAATGTTGCCTCATCGCTAAATAATACTAATGCATGAGATCGTGGATTATTATTCCTCATTCCAAGTATCCACTGCACAAAGTCTGCCTGGCATGGATAATCATGTGCATTCAAAGATTCATTTTTTGCACGTGGTGCATGCATTCCTTGTGTAAAATACACCACACCACTGGCTACAAAATATCCATTTCACATGCCACCGCTCGCGTATTTATGGAAGGAGCTGCTTCAAATCTAGTCAAAACTTGCTCTTCCATTTCTGGCGTTCGTGCATATGTCCTACATTGCTTTTTGAGATGGCAAAAGAGCCAGTCTTCAATCAACACTAGAAAAGGTTGGATTGCTTGGAATCTGACAAGTTGGAAACCGCTATTTATACAATTTTCGTACTTCATGTCCATTCCCTTTTGCTTCATTGTATGTGAGGTGAATATCTGCCAATTCCTTGTACATGTACTGTGCCATAGCATTCCCGAAAAGTTTTGAACGATATTATCAAAGTCGAAGCAATGCAAGTTGCAAGTTGAAGGCGATGATGTTGTGCCGTTTTCAAGGACAACAATTGCTCTGAATGGCTTTCTCCAGTATCAACTAAGAGCAAAATGCTGCTGTTTCTTCTCAGTGCAAATTTGCATAGGGTTAATTCTTGATAGCCTTAGGAGATGGTTTCCTTGTTCTTCCTTGGAGCGTTTCTACTTTCCTCTTTTCTTCCTCTCAGAGTGGAATGCGACCCTATGTTCTATGGTAATTTTTGCTCATCTAGATGGGTACTACCACCCCTCTTAATTTGTGAAACAATTTAGAATCACCCTGCATATATATAGAATTTTTATGTATTAAAAATTAATTTAGTCAAATAGTAAATATTGCTCATTAACAAAACATTTTAAATACTTTTATTAGTTTCTGCTAGTTATTGACATTTTTGGTTAATTTCAATTGGTTATAACCAGTTTTTGAAGCAGAAAGCCAGTTCTGATACAAACTGAAGTAGTATTCACACGTACCTTAAATCCAAAAGCTACAGTATTTTGAATAGGAAGAACTGGCTTTAGAACCATTTGAACTGATGCCTTTTCCACTGTCTTAGGATAACATGAATACAGCCTAAAATGATCTAAAACGAACACAAATTTCTGCATTAAATAAACTGCTTTAGGTGAAACTACACACAATTTATATTAATTAATACAATAAAAAACTGCAAACAAACCTTCAAATTTTTTTGTCATAAACCAACGACAAGTATCATCGGGAGCATAGAAAGTAGCCACTGTAGATATAGGTCCATCATATACCTATAGAGGAAAAAAAAATTTTTTATTAAAAAGTACTTAAATATTAACTTAGCATTTAATGATATGAATGTTCTTACAGCAAAAAGTTAAAAAAAAGATTATAATTAAAGCAGCCATTTCAGTATTTCAGACTGTGGCATATATACAAAAATTTTATGTACATCAGATGGAAGAAATTTTATCCTAATACCTGTATACATATATATTAAATAACCCATACTCAGCATCATTTTCATTAAAAAATATAAATAATTCATTTTTGACAATAATGTTATTCTGCACCCATTTTGCATAAAATAAGCTTCAAATTTTCACTTTTGAATTCTTTAAATTTGTTGAAATCACATAAGAGAAATAAAATGAATTTATGATTATACAAAGTTGTTTTTATTATTGCTATCATTTCTAAACTAATCTGCTAATTAAATTGGAATAAAAATATGCCAAGGGAAAACTTAAAATTAGTTAATTTAAAAACTTCAGTTTGGGATAAATTTTGAATAAAACTTTATCAATTTTGCAGCCGATGATATACAGGTTCCTCTTCTCCAAAAGCAGAAAAACTCTTAAATGTATTCAGAACATTCATTTTGGGATATTTCCTTAGTGCAAAAATAATTTTAAGTTGCACTAGTGAGCAAGCCCCCCAGATGAGTGGGCTGCAGCCAAAACAAAATTTATAAGTTCTATGCACTCCTAAAAAGCAAATTTATAAAAACATTTAAATATAAATGAAATCAGTTCATTCTTTCCAAGCAACAACCAATTTGTATATAATTTTTTTATTGCCAAACCAGGAAACAAAAACTTTGACACTTCAGATTAGTATGTACGATATCATGATTTAAATATAATGTAATACAACATTTTCCCAATATCAATGAAAGAATTAACGTGGCATCAATTACATTGTGTCAATTATAATAACCTGAAAAAAAAAGGATGCCAACAGCAGCTGTTTATTTAAAATGAAATGAAAAATTAATGAAAAATTTTCGATATACAATGATGTCGCATGCAATCGCAAGCTTTCTTCAACATCAGAATATGACCTTATATAATAATAATATGTTTTGCAATAATAATATGTTTGGTAAAGTTTGGCAATGCTATTCTTATTTCAGATTTTGTAAAACTTACAAATTTTTTATTAACAAACTCTATGATTTGAAAGCAAACAGTGGCAACACTTTTTGAAATAAAGCAGATTTTTATCTCCAGCATGCAAGACTGTTGTCAACCGGAAAAATGAGTGCAAAAATTAGCGTGATCAAAGTCGTTCGAAGATGATAATGGTCAAAATGGCTTCCCATGAATTTTTAGAATCAGGAATAATATATTTCATGTTTGGAAATGCTATTTTTATTTCATATTTTGTAAAATTTTTAAGAAACTTTATGACCTTGAAAGCGGAGAAGTGGCAACACTTTTCAAAATAAAACACATTTTTATCTCCAATGGATGAGACTGTTGCCACATGGGAAAAGCAGAGAGAAAATTAGTGTTTTCACAGTTTTTAATTAATATCTCAGCTAATTAAAGCCGTACGACGATGAGAATTGTCGAAATCGCTTCCAACAAATTTTTGGTATCGGGGGGGGGGGGGGGGGGTACCTTTCTCAAATTTAAAATCTCAAATCCCCGTCTTTCCGGAGGAGATAATGCCACGAACCAACAAACACATAGACAGATGCCCACAAATTTTAATAGTGTATACTGAAGTGACAAAAGTCATGGGATACCTCCTAATATTTTGTCTGTCTTCCTTTTGCCCGGCGAAGTGCAGCAACTCGACATGGCATGGGCTCAACAAGTCGTTGGAAGTCCCCTGCAGAAATATTGAGCCATGCTGCCTCTATAGACGTCCATAATTGTGAAAGTGTTGACGGTGCAGGGTTTTGGGCACAAACTGACCTCTTGATGATGTCCCATAAATGTTCGATGGGATTCATGTCGGGCGATCTAGGTGGCCAGATCATTCACTGGAATTGTCCAGAATGTTCTTCTAACCAATCGCGAACGATTGTGGCCCGGTGACATGGCGCATTAGCATCCATAAAAATCCCATCATTGTTTGAGTACATGAAGTTCATGAATGGCTGCAAGTGATCTCCAAGTACCTGAAGGTATCCATTTCCAGCCAATGATCAGTTCAGTTGCACCAGAGGACTGAGTCCATGCCATGTAAAAACAGCCCAGACCATTATGGAACCACCACCAGCTGAACAGTGCTTGTTGACAACTTGGGTCCATGGCTTCGTGGGGTCTGCGCCACACTCGAACCTTACCATCAGCTCTTACCAACTGAAATCGTGACTCATCTGACCAAGCCACGGTTTTCCATTCATTTAGGGACCAACCGATATGCTCATGAGCCCACGAGAGTCGCTGCAGGCAATGTCGTGCTGTCAGTAAAGGCACTCGAGTCGGTCTTCTGCTGGCATAGCCCAAGGAAGACAAATTTCGCCGCACTGTCCTATCGGACACGTCCCTCGTACGTCCCACATTGATTTCTGTGTTTATTTGATGCAGTGTTGCTTGTCTGTGAACATTGACAACTCTACGCAGACGTCGCTGGTCTCGGTCGTTAAGTGCAGGTGGTCGGCCACTGCGCTGTCCATGGTGGGATGTTATGCCTGAAATTAGATACTCTCGGCACACTCTTCACACTGTGGATCTCGGAATGTTGGAATTCTCTAACGATATCCAAAATGGAATGACCCATGCGTCTAGCTCCAACTACCATTCTGCATTCCAAGTCTGTTAATTCTCGTCGTGCGGCCATAATCACGTCAAAGCCTCTTCACATGAATAACTTTGAACACAAATGAAAGCCCTGCCAAAGCACTTCGCATTTATACATTTTCTACGCGACACTACTGCCATCTGTATATTTGCATATTGCTATCCCATGACTTTTGTCACTTCAGAGTAGATAATTCATCAATGAAAGTAAATACTTGAAATTCATTTTCAGGAATATAGATTTCACAATCAGCACTTTTGCTAGGTAATGTACCAATAATCATTTTGTTTACATTAGACAATACACGTTCATTTCTAAAAACGAAAATAGAGAAAAGGTTAATTAAAAACAAAGTTGAAGATGACTGGTTGCTGGACTTGTTTCACGAAAATTTTTCTTCACCTCTTCAGTCAAACCAGATTTTTGCTTAAATGGGGTGTTATTGTACTAATTTGTACTTGTTCTTCACAAAATAACATTTAAGGATGAACATCAGAACCAAAGGAAATTATTTCTACATAATATATATTTAAGTAGGTGATGTGATGTATTTAAAAAAAAAATGGTAAAGAGAAAAATGTGTCTTCACACAGCTTGGGTTGATGGAGTTATAATGTGATACATAAAAAATTGTAGAAAACTACCTAATTAACAGGTTTTTAATAATTTTTGTTTCAAAAGAGAATTAGAATAGTTTTATAAGCTGTGAAAACTTCAGGACATTATGATGCAAAGATTTTTAGGTATCAGAATGGGGAGGAACACCAGAGGCATTGTGATTATAAAGAGAAAAAAAGATTTAATTCAAAAAATTGCAAAAGCATTAAACTGCATTTATGTCAAAATAAATTTCATACTTAAAAAAAAAAATTATGATCTATTCAATGATGCAAAGACTGAATTCTATGATAATAAATTTGATTGTTAAACAAGTATATATGCAAACAAATGCAAAAAAAAAAAAAAAAAAATCATTTCAATATTTAATTTTAAAAATTATAAATCAAAATTTTAAGGATCATTTTGAAATGCTGCATAGTAGAAGTGAGATATATCAATTTATTAGTGCTTTTCTTTTAATACTATTATGAATTTATCACAAAGATAAGTAGCATATAATGTACGAAATAAATAAAACTGAGAAAGAAATTTCCCTTGTGCTCACTTTTTTTAAAATATTAAAAAGGTATATTATTTTAAAATGCATAAAATGAATCTTACAACAAAAAACAGGACACAAACTTCATAACTTATAAATTTTGTTTGATAGTTTCAAAATACCCATTGCTCGTTAAAATGTTGTGTGGTTACTTGATTTCCTCTTTCAGCAATCACAAAAATCAGCTATCATATTTTTCTGCCAGTAAACCTTGTGACAGATTGTCAACAGTATCTAACTTCATAACTTTAGAGCTATAGAAATGTTGATTTGTTAAATATTACCATGTGCATGGATAATATATATATATATATGCTTAAAAGTACAAACAGTTTAAACCTATGAATCATCTGAGGTTCTCAATGAGTTGGTAAGCCCTGGAGTCGATGAAATTTTAAATGGGGTCAGTGATGAACAAAGGGTCGACTGGGGGTCAATGGCTGAATATGCACCGGCAATTGATTGGAATAATGAAGATTCCATTTTTTAAAAAAATTTATTAATAAAATTATAATAATTGACTATTGATATAAGCTGCATAATATGGTAATGGAAAAAATCATTTAAAATAATATAAGGAAAAAAAACATTAAAAAATTAATTAAATTGTTTCATAAGATAAATTGAATTTAATTTAAAAATTAAATTTAAATACAAATTAATTAAAAATTTAAACAAATTTAAATTTTAACAAACACGTATAAAAGTAAAAAAGCAAATTTAAAGCCTAAAAAAAAAAAAAGCCAAAATATTTTTTTTTTTAAATTTAAAAAAAATGTGCGAACATATAAAAGATTTAATTCTCGAACTAATCTACAATATCATTTAAATTCAGAAGCATAAGCAAATCAAGTGCAAAGCCAATCCATGAAAATAAATTCGCTAATTTAGCAAATTAAAATTAAACTAAACAATTTTTTTAAAAATGCATAAGTGAATGACTGTTGAGTAGGCAGGAGACAGACTTATCAAGGGGAAGTTGCTTCCAAACCTAACTCTCCAATCATTCAATTCGTGTTTCGTCATTCATGCAGGCAAGGGTAAAAGTCAAAACCAAAAGTAAAAAGAAATACCAACAAAGTGGTTCCCTTAGAA